AATTTTTGATTTACATTGTTAAATTATAAAAAAAAACAATAAAATTATTTATCGGATGAAAAACGGATGAAAAACAGATGAACGAAAATCTTATCTAACTGTAATGCGGAAATGTCATATTACAGCAGTAAAAAAAAACCTTATACGACATTTAAGTTTTTTCAGGATTAAAAATAAAAAAATTTCCAAATTCCTTTTGGAAATTTTTTTATTTTTTTAAGGGTTGATGCAGCAACAAGGAATGTTGCTGCATCAACCCTTAGTTGATGCAGCAACATCCCTTGCATCTTCTCCCTATTAATCAGTCAATGTATGTACTGAAGCCACCTACACTGAAGCCACCTTAGACCATTAAAAATGATAGACGTGATCTTAGCTATATAAAGCTAATCTAAAAGTGAAGCCAAACAAATTTTGATCAGTGATGTCAGTTTGTGGCATAAAAAACTTTTTTAAATCGAGTTTACTCTTTATTTATCTTAAATTTGCTTGCATCTATCTTATATTTTTTGAATAATTTCAATTAACACGGATCCTGATAATGCCAACCTAACTTAACCAAGAACGCCACTTAAATGGAGTGATAGCTTACACTTTAAGTTACCCTGTGGATGCAAGTTTTGTAATCTTTAAATTTTGTTGGCAGAAAATGGTTTAAATCAAGTGAAATTTTGACTTTATAGTGCAAAAATAAAAATGAGTATTTTTATATAATTAGATTTAAAATTGGTGCAAATGTAGCATATGGCTACACCAAACTCTAGATAAAACTTCAGTCAGATTAGTTTACTGGTTAAGGGCCATTCTATTATGTAATATCAACAATTTTGATTATAATTGTTTTATTGGTACATGTATCATTTTGATAACATAGACAAAAATACTGATTTGTTATTTGAAGCATATTTTGAATTGGCCTATGTATAGCATAAATATATCAACATTTCCTAAAGTATAAACTACTTCCAAAATGTAAAAAAATGTTAAAAAAAGAGCAAAACCTGGGAAAAGGACTATCAGTTGGTAAAACAAAAACAAAAAACTCAGGATGATTATTGTTTTGTTAATACCTTGACCAATGTTTACAAAAGTCTTAATGAGCAGTTTTCACAGTTTGTTCTCTCTAGGGCCCCAAGGGCGACCAATGAAATCTTTGATGCAGTAGAAGACGGTGTGAATTTTGGGTGTTACACTTGCACCAGTTATTATTAAAAAACACCTCTTGAAGTTTTTAATTAATTTAGCAAAATCTGGCGGAAGGCCAGATTTTGCTGAAATAATTAAAAACTTCAAAAAATTAAAAACTTCAAAATCCAAAGCAAGCTTTTACAACTAAATTGAAAATTTTGAATGCTTCAATTATGTGAAGAATGTTGGGAACCAAGTTTGAATCAGCTGGAGCGCATCCATATTTTTAAGAAGCTTCTTGCATTCATTTTCTTTGAACTGACCCCCATGATATGGGCTCAACTAAATGTGGAGGGTGGCTGGCAACTTAACAGCTTCTATCCAAGCAGTTTAAAATATCTTGAAAAAGATACTTGATTGACAACTCCTATAAGGAGATTCTATTGGTAGGATTAATTCCAAAATCAGAACATTTAATTTAGTTCAGTGTTCGCAAGTTTCCAGATTTGACACTTGGATTTGATACTATACCATGTTCAAGGGTGTATACTTGAATGGGTTTAAAGACCACAAATTATATTTTCAACTTTAATATCATTAGCCAAAATTAGTTTAACTTCATTTGCATTAATCAGTGACTAGATTTGTTCAAGTTTGGAGTGAGTTTCTGGAAAATCTTCAACGAGAATTTGTCTCTTAATTCCAGTGTCTTTGCTAGTCCTTTAAGTGAGAGGTTGTTTTTGAGGCAATGAGCTGGTATCAATCCTTAACGCAGTATCAGCAATGCTTAGATAAAACTTAAGAAAACCTTTACCACCATCAATTCTGATCTTAACAAAATACCCACCAGAAATTTTGCGAGATTGAATAACATGATTCACAAGACTTGAAAAATCTTTGCAGTGAGCAACAACCCGAAATGTACCAGAATCTCTTTTTCTGTCGATAATTTTTAAGTCACTGCAGATGAAGAAATTAAGTGTTGACCTGTTCTTAAAAAATTCTTGATAGTGGCTGGGCACTAATTTGACCTGAAATCAAAACATACATATTTTATCTTTATATTAAACTTTGTTCAGAAAGTTTAAAACTTTTAAATTAGAAACTTGTTGAAAAAAAACTTCTCGAAACCAAACTTGCCTCATTTTAAAAATATTTTTTTTGAATAAATATGAAAAAATTATTTAAGTATAAATATTTAACTGGGATAATTGTAAGTGGAGGCCCACCAAATGCTTTAGCAAGTCAAATAGTTCTTTTAGGGGAAAATTCTTTATTGGAAATAACTTGAGATGCAATTTGTTTGGGTGCTCTGACATCTTTTGCTGCTTTAAGATTAAAGGTTATCCCAAAACTTTATTTGAGAGCATTGGTGGGGCAAACCTTTACTAAAGGGCAGAGGTATGTGTTGCAACATACATTAGATCTTTCTCAATGGTGGTTTGCTCTTCAAACAGATATTTTTCCTGCAGCTTTGAACAACCAATTTGGCAGATAAGGCATACACATCATGCCTCTTGTTTCAGGTCTCACTTGTATTCAATTGAAATTAAAAAAGGAGGGAGTATAACATCTTTTCCCTCTTGTTTCCTGCATAAAATTTATCTACACCATTTGCAGATTCATGATATGATATTGATATTGATCTTTGTTTCGTACAGTTGACATATTTGATCTGCTTGGAAACCAGTAAGCTGTCTTAAACATTTTTAAAGACAAAGCAAGTACACAAACTTTCGATTTTCATTGTGAACCTTTGCTTAATTTGGCAATTCACTAAATCCAATTTTACTAAATCAAACTATCTCTTTTACAAAATTTAACCTGAATTTATATTGAATAACAATTCATTAACATACCTACAAATATTATTAATTAAAATCAAGGAAATAATTACTTAAAGTACAAGGAAATAAATCTTACATAATTCTTCCCTTTAAAGGAAATAATTATTTAAACTAATGCTATTTGTCATACTTATTGACAATTTAGATAAGATTTTATTCGATGACACATTCCTACAAAAATTTTTTTACTGTTCTTCAAAGGACTCGCTTTCATAAGATTTTCCTCTGACTCTCCAAACATTTTATTTGTTAATTATTTTAGTTATCTTGTTATCTAAATTTTTATATTTTTTTAATGTAGGTATCTTTATAAAAGCTTTTCAACCATTTTTTAACATTTTCATGCAATAAAACAAATATAACAAAAATTGTTAGTTTTTCATAGTAGAACACTCATGTAACCATTATTTTGAAAATATTGACCGAATCAAAAATAAATTAAAATCACAGTAATCAGTAACATTTTAAGATAAAAGTAGCAAAAAACTAACAAAATATAACTTAAAACTGATTAAATCTTTACCCCTTTAAATCTTTAACCAGTTAACTAATCTGTTTAAAGATTTATAGCAAATCTTAATTAATTTTATCTAGAGTTTGGTATAAGCGATGTTCTTGGGTCAATTAGGTTGTCATTATCAGGATCCGTGCTAACCATCTCTTGGTGCATCCAATTTTACAAAAAGATATAAAACTGGTACAGATATATCATTTCACAGATAAGAGTTCATATTTATTACAATTTTATTAAATAAATAGTTTTAAAGAATTAGCATTAAAGAAATAACTATATCTATATATATAACTATATATATAGAAATACCTATACTAAGTATAGTAATTACTATACTTTGTCTTTATTAGAATATATTCCATAAAAATATATTCATATATTTTTAATAAAATGAATTTTCCTGAAAAATTTAAATAAAATTTTATTCCTACAAAGTCTTGTTTGCCAAAAATTCACACAAAATTTTGGCTTCAACAATTTACAAAAAAGCAGCATCTATCATTTTTAATGGCCTAAGGGAGCCACCAACAGCTTCTTATTTCAGTATGACAGAGTATTTTTATCATATATATATATATATATATATATATATATATATATATATATATATATATATATATATATATATATAGTAAATATTAAAAATGAATTGTCGGTACGCAGAGTTTCATATGTATGTATGTATGTATGTATGTATGTATGTATGTATGTATGTATGTATGTATGTATGTATGTATGTATGTATGTATGTATGTATGTATGTATGTATGTATGTATGTATATATGTATATATGTATGTATGTATGTATGTATGTATGTATGTATGTATGTATGTATGTATGTATGTATGTATGTATGTATGTATGTATGTATGTATATACATAAATATTTATATATTTATAGAGTTGTGTTGTATTCTGTTGGATTTAATACAGCTCTTTGTCGTTTTAAGAGTGATCGATATTTATATAATGGATCAAAATATATTAAATATTTAAATGAAAAAATATATATATGTGTGTATATACATATATATATATATATATATATATATATATATATATATATATATATATATATATATATATATATCAACCCGTGGAATTATGTTGACATTCGGCAATGCCAACCTAAAAGTGTTTGAGGTTGGCAAAAAATTTCCGACTTTGTTTCCTTGTTTTATGGTAAGCCATTTGTGTCTAATTTTTTCTGCCGTCCTCTAACAGTTGGAGGTTGGCAATTTATTGCTTCATTTTTCCTAATTCTGATGTAGATGTGTGTATATATAGATGTGTGTATACATACACATACACCATATGTGTAAGTATAGCAATTATTAAAAAAAGATTGTTTATGGATTTACCCTCACAACCTTTTACCAAGCAAACATTTATATTATATTAAGATAATAGCTAAACAACTTGATATAATATAAACTTGTTATGCCACAGAGTGTGCCTTTGTGCTCTAAATTGACATGTTTAATAACTTTAAATATTTACTACATTAACCTGTTATGCCATTAAGTAGTCCTTTTCCAGCTGAAAATAACAAACCAGCTGTCTTAGAAAACTTTGCATCTATATCAATATCATCTAAAGGTCTGTTTTTCTTTCTTCTTTTTTTCTTCACAGCCTCAACACTGGAGCAACGTGAAACCTCCCCATACTGTTGATTGAAGCTTCTTTTTCTATTTTCTGAAAAAATTAAACTGTTTTCAGTTATATCTTAATTATAATAAATATATATACATACATATATTATAAAATGAAAACTTGCAATAATTGAAAACATGAAATAATTGCATCATGAATTTTAAACGAATGCAAATAAACAAACAACACATTGTCATTAAAATCTGGCAGAAGTTTCAGGCCTTTAATCAGTTGGAAAATTAGCAAATATTTTATCAAAGAAAGCCAGTACATCTGTACAGTAAGATAGAATTAAATTATGTATAAAATAAAATTAACTATGCACAAAAACTATTGTAAGAACACCATTGAATATCAAAACCTTTTATCCCATTGTAACAAACATTAATATTTTTTTAAATTCAAGTTATTTATGTCACAAATGGAGATAGTATTATCATTCTATTTACATAGCAACACCTACCTTTTTGATACTAGTATAATATACAAAAGTAAAAACAAAACAAAACAAAAAAAGCAAATATAATTATCATAAAGTTTTACCCGCTACTAAATCAAGAGGTTCATCTTTAATGTTCTTTTGGATTATGACATTTTTTTGAGAAGTCTGATCAATAAATACTGGTGTTTTTTTACACCAAACAACTAGAATCAGAACAATAACCAAAAAAAATTCAACCAATATTAAAGAAAATTGAACATCAATAACCTAAAATAAGAAACATTTCATTTGTTGCATAATATATACCTATTATTATTTTGTTTGGTTATGTTTCTTATGTATGTATAAATTGCCACCGCACAAAATAAAAAACTGAAGGTAGGAATCAATTTGACCGGCTAACACATAAAATTGACGGGCAACAGCTTTTATTGGCCAGTCAATTATATATACATTTTTTTCAGTCATTTTTTTTTCGATGATTTAATTTTTGTTTTATAACACTTGCTAAACTTTGTAAATAATTTTGTTAAAAAGATTTTTTAATTTATTACCCCCTACAACGCAAAACAAGTTTTAAAATTTGCATAATCGTCAGTTGAGAACCAAGAGGCTATATGTTCACATTTACTGTTTTTCTGTTTATTATTAATAAATCTTTGCTAAAGGGTGGAGCAGCTGTCCACTAAATCTGGTCTCAAAAAAAATGAACTAAATGAAATATATAAATAATCAGTAGAACTTTCTTCACAAAAAAATGCACATATGGCCTCCTGGTTCTCAACAGACAAAATGTTTTTAAAAAAATGTAAATCATTTTCTTGATAACTCAATAGAAAAAATGCGCTAATGATAACTTTGGTTTATTTAAATTGCTAAAAGGATTAATAACGTTCCTTCATTGCAATGACTTATGGCAAAATTTTAAGAGAATTTTTAAAAAGATTTAATAAAAAAAAGTTTGACAAAAAATTGAATAAGAAAAAAAAAAAAAAAATCAATAATATAAAATAATAATCAATAATATAAAAGGTAACCATTGATTTTACTGTAAAATAAAAGATGTGTAAAAAATAAAGGTATAGCGAATGTCATATAAAATAAAGGTATAGCGAATGTCATACAAAATAAAGGTATAGCGAATGTCATATAAAATAAAGGTATAGCGAATGTCATATAAAATAAAGGTATAGCGAATGTCATATAAAATAAAGGTATAGCGAATGTCATATAAAATAAAGGTATAGCGAATGTCATATAAAATAAAGGTATAGCGAATGTCATATAAAATAAAGGTATAGCGAATGTCATATAAAATAAAGGTATAGCGAATGTCATATAAAATAAAGGTATAGCGAATGTCATATAAAATAAAGGTATAGCGAATGTCATATAAAATAAAGGTATAGCGAATGTCATATAAAATAAAGGTATAGCGAATGTTATATAAAATAAAGGTATAGCGAATGTCATATAAAATAAAGGTATACCGAATGTCATATAAAATAAAGGTATACCGAATGTAATATAAAATAAAGGTATAGCGAATGTCATATAAAATAAAGGTATAGCGAATGTCATATAAAATTTAATTAAAAGTAGCTTATCCTAAATAATAAAAATATTTTAAACAATTTTTCAAAATATTTTAGTCTAAAATATTTAAGATATTATGAATATTTTGAAAATTTTTAAAAACTAAGATTTTTTTCACAAGCAAGAACTCCTTTTGGGAAACCAAAACAGCAATTTTTATCATTTCAGGCTTTCGTTGACCACATGTTATTTTGTGCGCTGGTATATCACTATTCAATAGATAACATATTTTTTTAAAAATTTCATTAAAACAAAAATTCATTATAAAAAAAATTAAAAAAAAGTTATCTATTTTAAAAACAAAGCTAATTACACTTTTATTTTATCAGGTATAAGGGATATTTATGAGGCGCAGTAAATTTATAAGAACAGCTTATTGGCTAACACGATGAACCAATTAATTAGGTTTTAAAACAACTAAACTTGTTTTTAAAAATTAAAAAAACACACAAAAAAGAAAAAATTGTTAAAAAATATAAAAGTATGTTAATTTTCTTTTTCTTAAATGACTTTATATAAGACTCAATTTCAAACTAAAAATTTAAAACTTTCAAACTTAAAAACAAAAATTAATTCTAAAAAACTTTTCTTACTTTCTTTTGTTCTTCAATGGATTGAACCATGTTTTTCATCTGGTCAGTAAGGACAAAAATTTCTTGAGAAAGATTATACAAGAGCAGTGACTGAGCAATAGACTGTAATATTAAACATATGGATAATTAAATTCAACTTATGGTTACTTGCATTAAACATATGATAACTTGAACAAAATAAATACAGTTAAATATTAATTACACTTACTATTTCTTTCTGTGAAGTAATTGAAAGATTTAGTGCTAAATTTTTACTTGTGTGTCGTTTATCAACTTCTTCTACTGCAGTACGATATCTATATAGTAGAATAGAATAATTTTTAAAAATTTTAATTAATTTAATCTTGCAATAATAAAATTGTAAGTTTAAAGTTCTTATTAAAAATTAATTAAAAGCTTCTACTTAAATATTTGTTTACAGAAGCAAAAAGTTAAAAACAGTGCTTTTAAAGCACAACTTTTTATTTTTCTAAAATCAGCTGAAATTTTTACCAAGCACTTTTTTGATTAATAAATTTATTCAATTTATAATAAAAACCAATATTAACCACCAAATTGATGAGAACACCCTAAAGAATGTCATATCAGCATTTTTTAATCAAAGCAAAAGATCTTACTAATAAATTAATAGAAAATCAACTTGCAAAAGTTGATTTTCTACTAATTTACTGCCAGTCAATTACTCTGAAAGATGATAAACAGGATTAAGATCTGAGACATTCGAAACTTTGATTTTTTACAAAAATAAAAAAAGGCTTTTACAACTAATCTTTTTATTTCAAAACTTTCTTTGTCAGGACAAAATTGGTTTAAAAAATACCTCAAAGTAATTGAATTATTAATTTTAACAAATAATTTTACAATAACTTAACTATATAATAACTTTTTATAAACTTAAGCTTTTTTTTCAAGAACTTGATTATACTGCAGAGTACGATATTGTTTCTAAACTTAAGCACATAAAGCCTTTTTTTTAAAAAAAAGAAAAAAAAAACTCAAAGAAATAATTTCATTCTAAATATATTATTAAAGCGTGTACACAAAATAAATGTGAAAGAATAAGTACGTCATTTTTTTTTCAGTGGTTATATTAAAATCTTTTTAATTGTTTTGTATTTTGTTTACAACGTGTTGTGGTTTCAAAAAAGTGTATTAGTTTTTTGATTTCAATTAAAATTAGTCTTAAAAATGACAAAAGAATAAGAAAAAAAATTATGCACAATTATTTGAAAAATCCCAATAGTAGCTTCAATTCGATAGCAAAAGCGTTGCAAATACATCCATACACCGTTAATCGTGTAATCCAATGTTTTTCTCAAAACAAAATTGATCAAACGTAAATCTGGTGGTGGAAGAAAGAAGGGTTTTAAAGATAAAAAACTAGTTAGAAAACTGGTTAACAGTTTTAAGACTAACCCAAGCCTTTTACTAAGAAAGCGCGCAAACTTTTATGGACTTTCTCATAGTTTTGTTGTAAAAGTTTGAAATAAATATGGTTTTTATTCTTTCAAAGTAAAAAAGTACCCAACTGATTTGAAACTTAACAAGAAAGTTCGAAAACCCGCTGCAGAAAGTTGTATGACAATTTTATTTCTAAAAATTTCTGTATAATTGAAGACAATGAAACTTATATCAAGTACGATCATCAGCAAATTCCTGGTACCATCTATTATATTGCCATATGTAGAGGAAAAGCAGATAAGAAATTTAAATACATAAAATATGACAAGTTTGCTAAAAAAGTCTTGATTTGGCAAGCTATTTGCAGTTGTGGCAAAAAATCAGCACCTTATATTTCACTTTCGGGTCAAATATATGATAAAGAGTGTTTACAAAATGCTTGCTCTTAGTGAGAATAATTTAAATTCTGCTATTCCTTCTTCTGATCTGTTGATGAGTATTATCCTTTGATTGGCAGTCTCCAATAGCTACATGTTTGGTTTAGGGGTATACGTACACATTAATTCACCTATTTGTTGTGAAATCAGGATTGAATCCTTTGACCATTCTTTTATGTGCTTCTGCTTAGCACCTTTTCACTTTATCACCTTTCTCTTTGTTTTACATCGTTCTCTTTCTTCCCAAGATTGCACTCTTTTAAATATAATTTCTGATAATAATGACTATACTCTCTCTCTTTACCGCTCTGCCAATATTGTTGTTATTGGTGAATGCTTATCACACTGAATGGCTTGGTTCTAATGCCACTAAACCTGCTGGCACTAAAGCCTATAACTTCTGAATTTCTCAACCTCTTTCTTAGATAGTTAACTTTGTAACTCGTTTTCCTGACAACTTTAATCATTAACCTTCACTCCTTGATTTATGTCTGGTCTTTGATCCTAGCTTATGTTCTGTGTTTCTTTTTTTTTCTCTCTTAGGTGGTCTGATCATGCAATGATCTCTTTAAATCTTTCACCTTGTACTTCATTTTCAGACTCACCCTATCATCGCACTACTTACTACTACCCTAAAACTGACTTTTTATGATTTTCTTTGTGACGGTCCTTGGGCTGATGTCTTTTCCCTCTCAGCTGAAAAATGTGCCTCTTTTGTAACCTCCTGGATTCAGGCAGGAATGGATGCTTTTATTCCTTTTTGGCGGTTCCAATTCAAGTCTCATTCTACATGGTTTTCACCCTGCAGCTGCTATATCTAATCATAATCATTTTTATAATCTTTTTCAAAAGAACTCTCTTGAGAACAAACAGCTATTTATTATTGCAAGAAACCAACATAAAAAAATGCTGTCAGATGCCAAGCTCCATTATTCTTAGTAGGAGGGGGGGGGGGGAGAGGAGGAGGTCCATAATTATCTTTTTTTATATTTTTTATAGTTTAACCAATTTTTGATTCATAATCTTTTTTTTCATTTTAATTATTTAGCCTTCTACTTTGATTTTAATAAAAGTGAATATATTGACAAAAAAAGACATTGTTAAAAATAGATGAAATTATTATTATCATTAAATATAAGAAATGTAGAAAAGTAGAAATTTTTTTCTGTTTAATTTATCAATAATATACATTATGATTTATAAGTAACAAAAAAAATTAAGCATTATGTATGAAAATAATTCATACAGTTTGTTATTTTTACTATTGAAAATGGAAAATAACTATAAAAGTCATCATATGTGATAGAGGATTGCTGCGGGAACTTTCCATGTAGAACATCTAGGTTATGAGCGTGTTCTTTGATAGACATAAGATGGAGGTTTATATTTTTATATCAAAAATTATGTATTTAAACAGAATAAACATCCACGACAATGACCTACTTGTATCCCTAAAATAAAGAACCACATTTTTCGAACTTTTTGTTCATTTTAACATTTCTTTATCTACTTCAATAATGTCTAGTTCACAGCTAAATGGGCTGCTTTGTAACTTTAATCAAACTAAAAAAGAACTCATCTTGCACACCTGATGTAAAGTTTGCTGCTCTTCCATTGTTATCCATTTGTTTTTGTAGCTGGTTTCAACTATATTCGATAGTTTCAACTTCTTGGACAATTAATTGGACAATAATTTTCCAAAATATTTTTAAACTATGCGAACCTTCATTTTTGATATGGTTTAAAAAATTAAGTATACATCTCCTGTTGAATTTAAATGGGTTTTTTCCAAAGCTTTGCAACTGCAACAACTTAATTAGTTAATACTAATCATACTAATCAATAATAAAGTTAATACTAATCATATTCCATCATCAACCAAACACATAATACTTTTCTCTTTTTTAAAGTCCTGATGCTAAATACTCTAGCAAGAATGATACAATCATTCAACCTTTTTGAGGTATACTTATAAACTGCTTCTAGAATTTTTTTAACTAGCTATTCACTGCGTTTTAGAGTAAAGCAGAAAATTTCAAAGTTTGAACACTAATTTGTTTGTTATAAACCTTTTTAGGTAGCGGTATTCCTTTAGCCTGTTTATCTTTGTTAAACCTTTAGAATTTAACTGAACTTCTACTGACTGGCGCTTTAAAAAAAGATTTATTCTTGACTTCATTAAAGAAAAGTGAAAAAAAAAAAAAATCTTGAATAGCCTTTTTGATAGCTTGAATATCGATTAAAAATAAATAAAAAAAGGAAATTAAGATATTTTGAAGCAATCTGTCTTTTTGATTACTTAAAACTTTTTGTTTAGAAAGAGACTTAAGATAAAACTTTTTTTTCAAAGCAATCTGTCGTTTTACTTATTAAAAACGTTTTTTCTAGAAAAAGACTTCAGATAAAACTTTTTTTTCTTTCTAAAACGCAATGATTAAAAATCAAATTTATCCAATCAAAATTTGAATAGCATAAATTTGAAAGAAAAGTTGCATAACTTTATACGCAAAGAAACTTTTGCAAAGACTTATCTTTAAATTTTTAAAATAGAAGTAGAAGGTCAACCATAAAAAATTAGCAAAAACTGAATTGTTTTTTGAACTTTTTTCAAAAAATTAATTAAGAATAACTGGTTAAACAAGAAATTTTGAACCCCCCACCCCCCCTATCCTTAGTTCACTAAATCTCGAACCTTATCTCAAAAGTTAGGCTCTGGAGACTTTTGGAAAATCTGATTTTGTTACCTCTCTCCCAAGGATAAGGCATGAAATATCTTATTATTTTGAAATTATCAAATCGTTTTTTTCTAACTGCTTTATTAAAGTCATCCTCGAATGCCAACACTCTTCTTTATTTCCAGTAACTTCTGGGGTACCTCAAGGTTCTA